CAAGATCCATCTAACATCAGCAACAATATCCCTAGTACCACGACCCCTTCTAAACCCAGCCTGGACTTCCGGCAGTTCTCTGCTGATGTGCTGTTATAATCGTTTTTGGATAATCTTCAGTAGAATCTTGCTTGCATGTGAAATCAACGACACTGTTCTGTAGTTTCCACACTCAGTTGGGTAAGAAATTGGCTAAGAAAGCAAATTGGACAAGAAAACAAAATCTATCAATGTTCTGTCTATAAGAGACAAACCTGAAAAGTGAAGATAAGGGTTTTTTTAAAAAAAGGCTGGGAAAAATAAACCAAGCATATGGCAACCAGAAAAAAGCAGGAGTAGTGATATTAATCTTTGATAAAATAAATTTCAATGTAAAAAGCATCACAAAGGACAAGGAAGATCACTACATAATGATTAAAGTGTCAATACAATAAAAAGACCTAACAGTAATAAATATCAATACACCAAATGATGGAGCTGAAAAATATATAATACAAACATTAACAAAACTGAAAAAGGAAACAGACAACACCACTATCGTAGTTTGAGACTTCAATACCCTACTCTTAAGATAGAAGTACCAGAAAGAAACTCAACAAAGATGATGAAGAATTAAACCATACAATAAACCAACTTGATCTCATAGATATCTATAGGCTAAAGCACCAAAAAATAAAAAGCACAGTATACCTTCTTTTCTAATGTGCGTGGGTTGTTCTCCAGAATAGATCACATTTTAGGTCACAAGGCAAGCATCAATAAATTCAAAATCATAGAAATAACATAAAGCCTCTTCTCAGATCTCAATGCTATAAAATTAGAAATTAATAACAAGAGGATAAGGGGGGGGAGAAACATACATTTGGAAGATGAACAACACCTTGCCTGAATGTGAATGGGTACTGAAGAAATAAAAAATGTATTAAAAAGTTTCTTGAAAGAAATGACAATGAAAACACAACTTAGCAAAACCCCAGGAAACAGCCAAAGCAATAATCAGAGGTCAATTATAGCAACAGGCAAAGACATCAAAAGACAGAAAGAGATGGCCATTGACCCCCTAACCCAACATCTTCAACTAATTGAAAAAGAACAGCAAGAAAACCTGAAATTATAAAAATTAGTGTAGAAAGAAATAAAACATAAAAACAATTGAAACCATCAACAAAACTAGGAGTTGGTTCTTTAAAAAGGTGAATACAAAAAATTAAAAAAAGGTGAATAAAATCAACAAACCACTAGCTAAACTAACACAGGAAAAGAGAGAAAAGACACAAATAATCCAATGAAGAGATGAAACAGGCAACGTCACAACAGAACTAACAAAAATTAAAAGTTAACAATGAAATATTATGAAAAACTATACTCAAAGAAATATGAAAACCTAGAGGAAATGGGCAAATACGTAGAAACTCACAACCTACCTAAACTGACACAGACCAAAAACGAATAACTGAACAGACCCATTACGAAAGAAGAAATTGAAAAGGTAATAAAACAACTTTCAACCAGAAAAAGCCCTGGACCAGATGGTTTTAAAAGTGAATTTTATCAAACATTCAGAGACTTGTTACCAATTTTACAAAAACTATTTCAGAAAATACAAAAAGATGGAATTCTCCCCGACTCATTCTATGAAGCAAACATATCCTTCATACCAAAGCCAGGTAAAGACACCACCAAAATAGAAAACTATGTGTCACTATCTCTCATGAACATAGATGCAAAAATCTTAAATAAAATCCTGGTCAATAGAATCCATAGATACATCCAAAAAGTAATTCACTATGACCAGTGGGATTCATAACAGGTATGCAAGGATGGTTCAACTAAGAAAAACAATCAGTATAATTCATAGCAGTAACAAAGCAAAGAACAAGAACCACATGATCCTATGAATTAATACAGAAAAGTCCTCTGACACCATCTAACACTCTTTCCTGATTAAAACACTCAACAAAATAGGAATAGAGGGAAATTTCCTCAACATAGTGAAAAGTATATATGCAAACTCAAGAGCCAACACTGTTGTCAATGGAGAGAGATTAAAGGCATTCCGTTTGAGAACAGGAACTATGTAAGAATGACCACTATCACCTCTCCTATTTAATATTGCATTAGAAGTCTTAGTGATAGCAGTAAGATGAGAGAAGGAAATAAGAGGTATCCAAACTGGCAAAGAGGAAGTAAGATTATATTTATACGCCAATGATATCCTAGGATACTTAGAAAACCCTAAAGACTCAGCAAGAAAACTATCAGACATAGTCAACCAGTTCAGCAAAGTGGCAGGATACAAGGTCAACATACAAAAAACAAATTAATTTCTCTCCAGTGGCAAAGAGAATACAGGACTGGAGCTAAGAAAAACAAATACCCATCATAATAGCTAATGACAAGATTAAATACTTGGCAGTATATCTAACTAGAAATACAAAGAATCTAATCAAAGAAAATTACAAAACATTACTATAAGAAACAAATGGAGACATCCAAATAAAATTGGAGATTACCTTTTCCATATCATTGAAGAATGGAATTAGTATTTGTGTTGGGATTTCATTGAATGTGCAAACTGTCTTTTATAGGATTGTAATTTTCACAATATTGAGTCTTCCTATTCAAGAGCAAGGTATATTCTTCCATTTCTCCAATGGAAAGAGGCCCATAATAAGCAAAACACCCCTTAAAAAGAGAAACTCTCCTTAAAAAGAGAAACAAGGTAAGAGACATCTCACGCCCTGATTTCAAATCCTACTACACTGCTACGGTGGTCCAGACAGTGTGGTACTGGTACAATAAAAGACACATAGATCAATGGAACAGAATTGAGAATCCAGAAATCAGCCCATCTACCTATGCCAACTGATTTTTGACAAGGAGATGAAATCAGTCAAGTGAGGAAACAACAGCCTTTTTAACAAATGCTGTTGGCAAAATTGGAAAATTATTTGCAGAAAACTCAAGCAAGATCCACACCTCACTCCAAACACAAAAAGCAGCTCAAAGTAGATCAAGGATCTAGGAATAAAACCAAGGACTATAAACTTCATTGGAAGAACTCTAGAAGTCCTAATCCACAACATAAACAGTCTCCCAAGCATCCTGAAAAACCTATCACCAGGAGAGGGTAAAATAGATGAATATGTCCTTCTAAGAATCAAATCTCTATGCACATCCAAAAACTCTAACAGGGTCAAAAGGGAAGCCACAGGTTGGGAAAAAATATTTGGTATTGACATATCTGATAAGCGACTGATATCTAGAATTCATAGACTACTTGACCACCACAAGACAAAGGTAAACCCAATTGAAAAAATGGAGACAGGATATGAACAGACACTTCACCAAAGAAGACATGCAGATGGCCAACAAACACATGAAGAAATGTTCAAAATCCATAGCTCTAAGAGAGATGCAAATCAAAACAACTATGAGATACCTCACCCCAGTAAGAATAGCAAAATTCAAGAGCAGCCAACAACAAATCTTGGGGAGGGTGTCGAGAAACTGGAAGCCTTATCACTCTTAGTGGGAGTACAAAATGTTGCAACAACTATGGAAGGCAGTATTGCACTTTCTCAAAAAGTTGCAAATAGAAATACCATTTGACCCAGCAATTCCACTACTGGGAATATACCCAAAAGAAACAATAACTGTCACCCAAGCAGATAAATGCACACCCATGTTTATTGTGGCTTTGTTTATAATAGCAAAGAGTTGGGGACAACCCAAGTGCCCATCAACAAACGAATGGATAGAGAAGCTGTGGCATATTCCCACAATGGATACTATGCTGCATTGAAAAACAAGGAACTCATTAAATATTATACAAAGTGGGTGACCCTGGTGGACATCATGCTGAGCGAAATGTGTCAGTTACAAAAGGTCAAATGCTGCATGGTGCCACTGTTATAAAATAGGACTGACATCGGGGTTAGGGGGAAACTAGGAAGAGAGGGGATAAATAATGTATGCTGCATTGAAACAAATTAGGAAGAGGACTGTTTAAAAGGAATATATGATTAGGTATTATTTGCATCACAGGAATCCAGAATAAGAGCTGCATAGTAAAGTAGACTGGAAGAAGGGCTGCATAATAATAAAAGATTTTTTTTTCTTTACAGTGAGAAAAGCAACTTGGGGAGAGGGGTGGGCAGGGAGGAAAATGTGCAACAATGAATTAATGGAAATCCAAGTTCTATATAAACTTTCATTAAAATATCAATTAAAAAATTCTATTTACTCAGGATATAATTTAAAAATATGTCCCTTACTTGATTGGCTAGTTGCAACTGTTCTTGGAGATTCTTGACTATTTCATCATCTGTATATATATCATGTTCCATCTCTGTGTCAAAGGGAAGGGCTTCCAATTGCTTTGCAACAACCTCTTTTAATTCACTATATAACCTTTAAAATAAACAGATAACACAGTGATAAGATAAAACAATTTTATGTAGTAGTAATTACCATTTTAGATCTAATTAAAAGCAAATATTTGGTTAAAAAACATTTTTCACACAAAACATACTTTAACTCAAACACTGTTGCTTCTATGTGCCGTTGATCGGGAACTGATCCATAGTTGATCTTCCAGTGGGTTTTCAGAGGCAATAAATCACGTAGGAGGAGACTGTCTATCCAGAGTAGCTAGTGGATTCAAACAGTCTATCTTTGGGATTTTGGCACAGCTTCTTATTACTTGGTCAACAGAGCACAAACATTAGAAATGCTTGATCATCATTAAATAGTGGTGGTGGTGGTGTTGTTGTAAGGTGCCATCAAATTGGAACCAACTCAGTGAGCTCTGGTGGCCTAGAGGCAAGAAGCTGCAACTGCAAGCTCAGAGGCGCACAGTTTGAATCTACCAGATGCTCTGCTGGAGAAGGAGGAACAATTTCCTCCTGTACCAGTCAGATCTGATTTGATGGTACACACAAAAAAATAATGAAATAAAATAAAAAAAAAAATTGGAACCAACTCAGAGCTGACCCTTCAGTGGATTTTTTAGAAGCCGTACATTATACAGTGGAGACTATTAATCTTTCTCCAGTGAAGTAGCTGGTGGGTTCTAAGTGCCTGTCTGTGTATTAGTAGTATATTATTCCTTATTGAGTAGGCCACCAGTATTCCTTCATTAAATACTACCAAAAAATAAGATTATATAGCAACTTCAAAATGCATTACATTGGCCATAAAAAATGCAAAAATAATCAGTTTAATCATAGGGAGATTTAGAGTTTTCCAAAAGGTTAAATTCAGATCTTATTATTGATAGGTGATATCTAGTCAATGTTGACTCACAGTAACTTTACAAACCATCTAAACCTTGTTCAATGCCATAGTATGTCATATAATCTTTGCTGTGTTTAGACCCAATGTTGCAATTACTGATGAGAGTCTTCTCCTTTTCTGATCCTTGACCTTTCCAAACATGATATCCTTTTAAATGGATTGAATTGTGTTCCCCTAAAATACTTGTATATAATGATATAATGCGAAAGTCTTGTAATGGTTAAACTAAATAGTGGTAGTAGGATTAAGAGAGGAATGTAAGACTCCCTAATCCTATTACACCTTAATCAGACACAAAGGGTATTACCCTACAACATATTCTGGAGTATTTTCTCTCTTTTTGTTGTTAGGTGCTGTCAAGGACAACTCATAGCAACCCTATGAATAGCCAACCAAAACCTTGCCCTGTCCTGTGCCATTCTTATCATCTTGGTGGCATTGCTAAGTCAATCTATCTCGGGGGGGGGGGGGGGGGGGGGAAGAGAACAGTGTCTTCCTCTTTTGTACTGACCTTCGATCTTTCCAAGCATGATATCCCTTTCCAAGGAAGAGCCTTACCTGGCTACATGTCCAAAGTTTGAAAGAAAAGCCTTGTCATTTTGCTTCCAAGGAGCACTGTTGCTGCTCTTTCCCCAAGATATTTACTTGTTCTTTTAGCAGTCCATAGGATATGCAAGGCATGAGGGGGACGTCAGTACCACCAAGAAATAATCAACAGGAGTGGAGTGCATTTTTTTGTACCCACGCCCCTGTGTGACAAAAATCTAACACTGAGAAAGGCCAGAATTCATGGAAGTCCCCAGGCCTACAGATGCTGAAGGAAATTGTTTTAACAGAGAGAGGGGGCCTTCTCCAAGAGTTAGTACCCTAAATTTGGACTTCTATCCACTTGTTGTATCTCTGTTACAGCAACATTAGATGACCAAGGCACCTTCCAAGTATTGCTCCCTCCCATTAACATGTTTAAAGAATGTGAGAAGCAGCCTCACTATCACTTCTAAGAAGCACCCTTGTTATACACTTCATCCAAAACTAAACTTGACTTGTTTGTTCTTTTGGAAGTCTATTTTTCAATTACTCTTCACCAATACAGTGTTTTAAAAACTACTTTTACAAAAGTCAAGTCGATTGTCACTGAATTGGAATTAATTCATAGTTGACGGTCCACTGAGTTTGCAAGACTGTATTATCTCGGAGAAGAATCTCTTCATTCAGGAGAAGAGATTGCTCATTATTGCAGTCACTGTGCCAATGCATCTCACAAGAGTGTTTTGTGTTTGGATGATCCTGAGGCTTTGTTCCAAGGAGTCGACCCACCTGACAATACAAAGTAAATGAGACATATTTTCCTGTCCTTGTCTCTAAGGAGCACCCTAGTTCCACTACCTCTAAGATTGATTGATTTGTACTTTCAGCAGTTTCCTGGGATAGTCAATCCTCTTAGTCAGCACCAACATTCAAAGGCATCAATTCTTTTTCAGTCTTAATTATTTATTGTCCAACTTTCTTAGGTATTTGAAAAAAAGTGAAAATACCATGGCCTAGGTGAGCCTGACCTTAGTCTAAACTACCATCATTGCTCTTCAGCCCGTTAAAGAGTCCCTTAACAGCAAATTTGTCCTGGTGCCTCCATGAGTGCTGATTACGGAACCAAGTAAAAGAAAATCCTTGACAACTCCGATCTTTTCTCCTATTGGTCCTGTTATAAGGATTTCTGTTTTCTCTATGTTGACGTTATAATGTTGTTTTATATTACAATCTTCTATACTGAAGGTTGTAATCTTTGATCTGCTTCAGTCATTCAAGTTCTCTTCCCTTTTAGAGAGCAAGTTATATATGGCAAGTGGTTGATGAATATTTAACTAATCATGGTATCACATTATTCTTTATATAGTTCAAATTCTTGAAATTTGCTCAGCATACAGACTAAACATGTATGCAACCTCGACGTGTTGTTGTTGTTGTTATGTGCCGTCGAGTCGCCTACGACTCATAGCGACCCTATGTACAACAGCCCTAAACTCCGCTCTGCCCTGTGCCAATCGCACCGTCTCTGACACTCCCATTCCCAATTATCCCGGTCACTGAATCAATCCACCTCATACAGGGCCTTCCTCTCCTGCGCTGTCCCTCCACCCTCCCAAGCATGATGTCCTTCTCCAAGGACCGGTCTCTCCTCACAACATGTCCAAAGTATGTTAGACGGAGCCTCAGAATCCTTGCCTCCAAGGAGCCACCCGGTTTAACCCTTTCCAGGACAAATCTGTTTGTTTTCCTAGCAGTCCATGGTATTCTCAATACTCTTCTCCAGCACCACAGCTCAAAGGCATCAATTCTCCTTCTATCCTCCTTGGTCATTGTCCAACTCTCTGATGCATAACAGGTGATTGCGAAGACCATGGCCTGTATCAGACGCACCTTAGTCTCCAGAGAGACACCACTGCTCTTCAGTACTTTGGAGAGGTCCCTAACAGCAGACTTTCCCATGGCAATGCGCCTTTTGATTTCCTGGCTGCTGGTGCCAAGACTGTTGACTATGGAGCCAAGCAAACTAAAGCTGTGTACAATCTCAATCTCTTCACCATCCATCTTGATGCTGCCAATTGGTCCAGTGGTGAGAATCTTTGTCTTCTTGACATTGAGCCTCAATCCATATTGTAGGCTGCAGTCCTTGACACTCTGCAGCAGGCACTTCAGGTCCTCTTCAGTTTCAGCAAGCAGGGTTGTGTCATCCGCATAACGCAGATTGTTGATAAATCGTCCACCAATCTTGACCCCACATTTCTCCTCATAGAGGCCAGCCTCCCGGATAATCTGTTCTGCATATAGGCTGACGTACCCTTTCGTATTTTAAATCATACAGCAGCATCTTGTTTTGTTTGAAGAACTGCTTCTGGGTTCACACACAGGTTACATATGAGCACAATTATATGTTCTAGAACAACTCATTAAATGATAAAACAAGCCATTCTTCAAAAATAGCAAGGGAAACAGGATGGCCATATCTGACCTTTACAAACCCCAGAAAGAGAAAATGTTCCTGTCAACAACAGCCACAACACAGTCAATTCCTATGAAGTCAGACATGTCCCCCACATTCCTACATCTTTCTATTCATCCCAATACAAATCATACCGTTCTGCTAGGTTCAAAATGTGCTCCAATAGTCACAGACCACACAGAACCATATTGGGGAAGTCAAAAGGCTATAATTCAGATTGACAACAAGATACAATTACTCAGGATAGCTTCCAAAAGGCATTATAGCTTTCAGCCTCACCACAGCTTCAGTTCAGTGTTACAAAGCTCTTGTTGTTGTTTTGCTGTTGAGTCAGAACCAACCCACAGCTGACCTTCCAGCAGGTTTCTTGAAGCAGTAAATTGCACAGAAAGGGACTGCACCCATCCTGCTCTCATGGAACATCTGGAGGATTTGAATCACAGTATCACTTGTTAATTCTGCCAGTTATAGCTCAACCTCCTCCCTCATTCCACCAATCCCTACTCCTTCAACAAATATGAGCCAAGGCTCCTAGCTTTGGTTCCATGGGGTAGCAATCTCAAGGTAAGCCTGCTCACATGGGGTCTCTGGTTCTGCTGCTGCTTTCCTTTAGGTTCCAGTCTGAATTGGGCAGAAATCTGTGGCCTTGAAGGAGGTGCACTCTGCATGCTCCACTTCTTTGCTGATGCTGAGGTTCCCAAAATTAGCAGATGAATCTGCTCAATTCAGTTGCGAGAATATAATCCCCTTATGGACAGGCTAACATATCCTGTCATATTTTCACTCATCTGCATGACAAAGTCAGTCAATGGCTAGGAAAGCTGTTTTGAACAATAAACCTTTAACACCAAACATTCAGAAAAACTGAAGAATATCAAAGTGGTTTTAGTTACTCAATTAATGAAAATGTGGTATTAAATCTTGTAGAATTCTTACTTTCTTAATTATTTTACAAAATTGACTTGAGTTCTCATTAGTTCTAATTAATAAACACTATAGATTAAGATAGTTGCTGATCATAACAAACCAAGACTTTAAGAGTTTCATTTTTGAGGAATTCCTACATGAACTTTATAATATTTCTAAAAGTGTTAAGTTCAACAATACTCTTATT